TTTCTCTATCCATTCAAAAGTATTAGTATATTTGTACTTCTAGCTGTCTGAAAAAGGCAAAATGTCCTGATTAAACCATGTTCCAAGTCTTGTGAAGAGTCAGCATATGTAATCGAGTATCCCTGCTGCTTGTTCACTTCATGTGGTACACGTTTTACCTGGTGAGCCGTTTGCATTCACTGAGGAGAAAGTAATGAACCGAAGGTGTGAGCTGCTTTAGAGCCATTTCCTGAAGAGGAGATTAAACAGGAGCTTTCCACTACACTTAACATTTACTCTATGGCATATGTGACTTTTATCGAGGATAAAAAAGGAATTATGCAGGAAAAGAATAAATGTGTATGTTTCAAATTTGCATGTTCTGCCTGTGATTGCATACTTTTCCTGGTAAAGATTCCACTGGGAAAGTAGTACTTTCAAGACCATCCTATTATAACCTGCTTTAAATCTACAATAAATCATATATATTATAATATTAATATATCTTTAGTTCAGGCTGCAGTTCATCTGCATTTTACAGTTTTATCAAAGCAAGTATTAAAGCTGGTGTACCTAACTTGGATGTAATACAATCCATAAAATCCAAGTTCCATAACTTAGTAAATTAGTCTTCAAATTCATGTATTTTTTGCCACATCTTTAGATCAGTTTTTTCTGCACTGCAGCTTTAAATGTGTTTTAATTGTGTAGTCTTGTCACACTCAACTCAAGGCCTCATTGTTAAAGTGCAATTTCAATTCCAAATCCTAAATCGTTCTTCTAAATACAGATAGTGTCTGCAGGATGAGGACGAGTGAGCAGTAACTCTTTATAATTTGTCTATTTGGATCCATTAATCATCATTAACATTATGAAAACAAAGGCCTATCACATTCAGATACTTGTTTCCATTTCTTCATACTCGGAGGTGGCACTAAATGATTTTGCTAACAGACCCCTCACTTACGGAACAACCATTAAACGCAGCCTCTACCTCGGTCGGACTCAGTAACTGCTTTCACCAGCTCTTTCCCGGCCCCTGACCCGGCCGCTTTACTGGCAGTTGGCTTCGTTACAGAGCGCTGTGTGTTCACAGGACAGGGAGCGTATTGTCCCAAAGACTTACCGGACTCACAAACATCTCCACCACATGGGCCACCTCAGTCTGCACCCCCCCTCCCCACGCCACCCCCCCGTGTGAGACCTGTGTGTGCGGAAAGAGGAAAATGCGTTTTTGCAATTTGCAGCTTTGGTTCATTTGTTGTTGTTTATGAGCTGAATGGTAAAATGAATCGTAAATGTATCCAAAGAAGAGATTTTGACATTTTGATTACAATCCCAATTCAATTCAATTCACTTTATTTTTGTACAGCCCTAAATCACATCAGTAGTTATCCTGAACGACTTTGCAAAGCTGTCAATTTGCCAACACAGATCAGAGAATCAAACATTTCAAACACAGGACATACAATGATACAAAACGCATAGAGCCATTGGTCCATAAGGTCCAAAACAATTGTTCCAAGATTCCGGTACATGAGTCTGTGTTAAATGATGCTGATTAAAAGTTTGTGGTTGATGTTCAGGAAGCAAAAGCTATTTTAGTCAAACATAAAATAATGATTGATCAGTAAAACATTGTTATAGTTTATCCCGTCCATCTAATGACATCTGCAAAGAACCTAGATTTATGTTTTCTCTTTGTTTTGTTTTTTTACTGATGTGAGAGAGCGGCTGTGTAGCTACAAATTAATTACTCATTGTGGATAAATACATTTGTCTGAATCCAAATTTCAATCCATAAGGTCTCGCAAAAATAAACAGTTTTTGTTGCATATAATTTCTAAATTATATATATTCTATTTCTAAAGTCGTTAATAATTCTGAAATCTAAAGAGCGATTTTGGGCAGGTACTTTCACAGTCTATGGTTCTATCGTCTGGCAACAAGCACTATTGTTTGTTGTGCTCAAAGCTAGCTGCCCTTTGTTGCATACCAAGGAAAAGTGATTTAAAGTGCTCAGTAAATTACCTTATTGATTTAACAAGATAATAGGCGAAAACATCTTATGCAAGTAAATGGGTAATTAGATCCTTCCTCTTGTTCAATACTAACTTAGATTTTATTTGGAAGTTATGATGCAGGAAACATTGACGCACTACATTCAATTGTCTGTGGCACCAATTTATTTTTAAGCATGTTTTATACTGTGCAACTGTGATCCACGGTCGATGGCAAACAATCCTCTGCTCTTTTTGTGCAGTAAAACATTTTTGTGCGAGTTTTCACTGCCTGTCTCTTGGAATATAAATGATCAGTAACTTGGCTTTATTGCAGACAATCTATAACTCAAACTGTGATTGGAACGACAGCGCTATCGCAGTCAACACATTGGGAAATCAATTGGACTTTGCCCCAGAATATTAATAACAATGAGACATTCTACATACTTGGACATTAGATCTATTTGTCGGTGTCAGTGGTTCATATTTTACAGTCTGCTGCAGCATTCATTCTAGACAGAGTTGTAAGAGCTATTCTAAAACATTTGGCCTCTTTATGTATTGATTATGAAATGAAAGACGAGAAACTTGACTCTCCAAAGATAACGTTGTGTGATATTTTGTTCAGAAAGTATCTGTCCGGTTCCAGATGAATGTAAAAAAATACAGTTTTCATTATGTGGGGCAGTGGAGCGTGTAAGCAGTGCAGTCACAGATAAGTCGATATTGTGGTGCAGCTTCAGACGAGATTTCAGGACGACGCTGGAGGAATATAGATTCTGGCTCCAGCTCCAGCTTCAGAAAGAGCCCCAGGCCTGCAGTCCCTCCAGAACAGGACGGAACCATCAATAAATCAGCACCAAGGGCAAGTGAGGAAAAGTACAGAGCTCAGGCCACTACAATAACACCACAATTTCTGCACCAATTCTCGACTTCTTCTTCAAAATTGGGCAATGTAACCTTTTGGCTCTACATTCCCCATTTAGAATTTAGTCAAACCTCCGGCTGTACCCACCTACTGCTACAATGCTATATCTGTGCTTATCCAAGGAAATTGGTTGATGTAATAATACTATTTGTTGGCAGATATTTAACCAGAGCATCATGGTTTTAACGTTTGCAGTTACAAGGATTTCTATAAAAACGTATGAATAAATATTGAACACAATTGGACCCATTTTATCATAAAATTCATACAAAGCCAAAGTATCAGTATTGAATATTAAAAAGCTGGATCAGTGCATTGTTTTGTCTGTAAAGGACCCCAGTGGCTTATGCTAATGTCTTTTGGTTTTTAGCCTTTATTCAAACAAAGTATTATCTGAATCTATTTTTTAAAATAGGGGCGACAGTAGCTCAGTTGGTAGAGCATTGGCCTTAAGGCCAGAAGGTCATGGGTTCAATTCCCACCTCTGCACCTTCTCCACCGACTCCCACTGATGACTGCTGTCGTTGTGTCCTTGGGCAAGACACTTAACCCCACTTTGCCCAAAGCCCCCGCTGAAAGATCAAGGCTATGCTCACACTCAGAGCAGCCGTCCTCCTGTGGACTCACCACCTGCAGAGGGTCAGTGAGGGGCTGGTGCTATGAGACTTGGGTGGCATCTCTGACTGCCACCCCCCTGACCCAGAAATGGATTAAAGGGTAGAAAATGGATGGATGGATGGATGGATTTTTTAAAATAATATTTACACGTGTGCAGAGTCTATCACCTGCCTTAGTGTAATAATGCCATACAGTGGACCTGCAGAAAACACTAGAAATTCAGATTTTTTTTAACAATACCTTCTTTAAATTCAGAAAAATGGGGCTACGAAGATGTTTACTTGATACTATTGATGCATAGTTTTTGTCAAGCTGAGACCGAATAATAGCAACTTCAAGTCCTCATCCACTGATATTTGTGTGTTTTTCACTAATAGTTGTTCTGAGTGCAGGGGCTTTGTGGTTTCATAAAGGATCGTCCATTATGAGTGGCTCGTCTGTCATACACCAACTCCCTAATGTGATTTTTGTGCTGTGGATGCTTTTATCAGCCTGCGCTCACCGTTTATTAGTGTCCCCTGTGCAGAATCTGTCTCGATCTGTCCACAAATAAACTAACAAGATGTGACACCCAAAGACACAAGAAGGACAACAAAATCACATTTCAGACATGACATGATGTTTCAACATGAAATGGGAATTACAACGGTGTGACAGCTGTTTAAGCACAAGTGCAAATCCAGTGGGAGCTTTGTTCATCTGGGGCAGCTGCAGCGGTGATAATACAGTATAAATATGTCACTATGTACATTTTACTTATTGAAGGTTCAAGTTAGAGTGAGCGATAGTGACAAAAATGAAGGCTTTGTTTTCAGATATTTTGGTATTCTTAAAGAAATTTGAAACTTGAAACTCCAGCGTTATACATCAAGTGGGCTTTCAAACTGTCACATTATGATTCATAGTCCACTACTTTGACTATGAATCATAATAAGTCAATTGTAATCAGTTATAAATGGTATCATGTGGGTAGTGTTCGTGCCTCAACACAAGAAAGTTGTGTTGAGGCATCAGGCCTTTCTTTGAGGAGTTTGCATGTTTCCCCTTGTGTATGAGTGGGCTTCCTCCGAGTGCTCCGGTTTTCCCCCTGCACCCAAAGCTCATCTGTAAAATCCTCCAACAAACAACAGCATCTGGACATGGGTCAAACGCAGAGGACAAAATTCATTAGCCTTAATTTTACCATCCCATTATTATCAACAACTAAATGCATGAAATAGTATGAGTCCCGAAACCCATTTCCATAATATTAAAAAGTTATAATTAACTGTGAATAATTAAACAAAAGATCATAAATACAATGTTTATTTCTGTCTATTTATTCAGTGATGAAAAGATACTTGCACTTCTTTCTAAAACAAAACTGGCTTTTTTCACTTCTGTTGTCAATGCTATTCCTGATCACAACTTTGACTTTACTGTGCTGTAGACGATACTATTATTGCTAATATTTAATCGTTTTCTCTCCACAGGCACGTGGACTCCCTTTAACCCCGTGACAGTGCGCTCCATCATCTGTGAGTGTCTGCTGACGGTGACATCATTCACTCAGTATTTGTTTGTGTTGTCTCCATGGCGATCTCATCACGACACTGTTCTCAATAAACTAAATTTAGCCGCGTTTCACGACAAAACTAACAAAACAAAAAATCTGTAATATTGGTCTAATTAGAAAGCCAGTTTATTTCAAGATTCAAGATTAATTTATTATGTCCCGTAGGAAATTTGTCTTGGACTCACAGGCTGCTACATTGGAAATACACATAGGAAAATACAAATTTGTACAACTTCAAGAGCCTAAAGTTCTGTACACTCCACAAGGAATAGACCACAATATAATAGAACACAATATCACAAAGAAATAAAAAAACAGTAAAAAACGTGATGATTCAGTTTTTAGGAGTGTTTTAACCAATTATAATAGTGCTCTAGTGACTGAGCAGCTCTGTCATTCAAGGTCCGGCTATTTATTGTCCATTTCTGGGTCAGGGGGGTGGCAATGAGAGCTGCCACCCAATGCTCATAGCACCAGTCCCTTGCTGATCCTCTGCAGGGGGTGAGTCCACAGTGTCAGTGGTGAAACAGCCTTGGTCTTTCAGCGGGGGCTTCAGGCAACGTGGGGTTAAGTGTCTTGCCCAAGGACACAACGACAGTAGACATCAGTGGGAGCAGTTGGAGTAGGTCCGGCTGTTAAATCATAAATTGTGTTTACCCGTACTGTATACTAAACACATCTTGTATGCGTAGTCTCGCCCCCTCCCATCCTTTGTTAAGGCACACTGGTAATTGTTCAAAACCACTCCTTTGTTTAATCCATCTGCTACACTATAGTGACAAAGACATTGCATCAAGTAAAATAGGTTTGCACAAACTGTTTACCCTGCTGTCATGCTTTCATAATCTCTATAAACTACAGTATAAAGTAAATTATCTTTGCTCGGAGTATTTTTCGTGCTTTTTTTCTTGAGTTAATACAAATGCTGCACCTCCTGTTCCCACTGTACCGTGTTCACTAATTCCATTGTTCAAAAGTCTCTTGGCCAAAAGCATATCCTGTGATCACACTCCTTTTGTCGGGAGGTAATTGGATTGAATCGCATGGCGGACCACGGTGTACTTTAGCCGTATGTACACACTGCACTTTGGTGCCTTTATGGACCGTTGGAAGTTTTATCATTACTTACCCAGCGATAACATAATCTGCTCCAAACCGAAATGTGTAAGTAATGTATTTCTTTTTGTCTGTTGACTGTTGCAGCCATGTTTGACAGAGAAAACAAAGGCGGCGTGAACTTTAACGAGTTTGCAGGCGTGTGGAAGTACATCACAGACTGGCAGAACATCTTCAGGAACTATGATCGCGACAACTCCGGGTTCATTGATAGAAACGAGCTCAAACAGGCTCTAACTGGATTCGGTGAGCAGCGAAGTATGCTAACCTACATTACATTCGTGTGCTGTGCAGTGGTGAAGGGCTCTGCTGCAGTGACTGGTTTGACAGATTGCACTTTTACTTTCTTGATTTTATTTCCTCATTCTTTCACAATTTTGAAAAGTCTCGTTTTAACTGATTTCATGTAGAGGTCAGGTCGTTATACTACATTAAGGTTAGACAAGCAATCTTCCCCATTTTGATAAAAAAAAAGATTAATGGTAGTCAATGTCCAATTAGGCATGCAACGTTATGTGCTGCCATGGCATGTTATACCTCATTTTAAAGCTCATTTATTTCTGTAGGTCATTATGTTTTTTTCTCGACAATGACCCCCAAAACACATGTAGTAATAATGCATTAAAAAACACATGTGAATCGATCTATAATACTCAGAAGGCTTAATTTGCGGTGGAATCTGCTGATTGATTGATTGATCCTTTTATGGCTCATATTTGGATTTACAAAGACAATACCAAACTATAAACACCAGGATCATAGATGGCTTTAAAACCACCAAAATGCTGAATGTGTCAAACCGTTACTGAACTCGAGGAGTTTACCTTACAATTTAAATCAACAGGAGCCAGAGTGAGTTGGAGCAAAGCGTTGTCCATGAGTACTTCGCTGTTGGGGTTCATTGAGCTTGGAGGTTCGCACTGTGCATCTATATAGAACAATGGTATCCACCTTTCCACTCAACTTAATTTTAAATCTTTAAAATGGCCCTAATCTCATCAATACCCAAAAAGGAATAATTGAATGACCTCTAAAAATGTTCTAGTAGCTAACTAGCACATTGGTCATAGCACATTAGCCTCATCACCATCTGCAGAGTCAAATCCACTGAGGGCTGCATTGGCCATAGAAAACCCATATTTGTGCCAAACATGCTTTTATACGGGCCAATTTTGTCCTTGCAGTAAGAATGTCAATATTTTTTCACTAAATCCAATATCATGTAATTCAGGGTTTATTGGTGCTGTAATATGTTATCAATAAAAACCGAACTTTTCAATGTTAAAAATGTAACAATTGCTCATAAAAAATTCTGACTCTCTCTGTATGACTTTTACCATCGGTGATATTTAATACTAAGCTCTCACAAAATGAGTCGTACAGTTTTTCTGATCGACAAATGCCTATTTATCCTTCTTTATGCCTTCAACAGTTTGCTGTGTGAGTTTGGTTCCAACGCTCTGTTCTGGCACAATGTCAACAATGTTAGATTTACAATATTGACATTGTGAACTGCAGTCATTTTTAACATGCTGCAGATGTCTGTTGATATAATGTATTCCTGATTATCCAATTATTCCTTTTGTATATATTGTTTCTTTCAGGTTACCGTTTGTCAGACCAGTTCTACGGCACGCTCATAGAGAAGTTTGACCGTCAGAGAAAAAGCCAGGTGGCGTTTGACGACTTCATCCAGTGCTGTATCGTACTACAGGTGAGAGGATGTAACCGCGGACTTGTCCCTCTGATTCGGGAAAACATGTTCACTAGCCCTCCTCCATAAGCATAAGAACCTCACCAAAATAGTGAGCGTACATATTTTACATATATTAGTGGAACTACTAACAATCAAAGCTGGGGTACCTAACTTTCAGAGCACAAAAAAGTAATAACATACAGTACAGACCATAAGTTTTTGACACACTTTCTCATTCATTGAGTGTCCTTTCATGACTATTGACTGTAGATTCACACCAGGCTGTGTAAGGGCTATTTGACCAATAAGGAGAGTGGTGGGGTGCTGGGCCAGATGACCTGGCCTCCACAGTCTGGACCTGAACCCAATCCAGATGGTTTTGGGGCTTGACCACAGAGTGAAGGCGAAAGGGCCAACAAGTGCTAAGCATCTGTAGGAACTCAGACTATTTCAGGTCCTCTTGAAGCTCATCAAGAGAATGCCAAGAGTGTGTGAAGCAGTGATCAGAGCAAAAGGTCCTACTTTGAAGAACCCAGAATATATTTTGAATTGTTTCATACTTTTTTTTTAGTATGTCCATCATTTCACATGAGTTAATTCATAGTTTTGATGCCTTCAGTGTGAATCTACAATTTTCATCATCATGAAAATAAAAAACTTTTGGTCTGTACTGTTTATCATCTACTAGGACCTTGAAGATAACGTGTTCTCTATTAGGCATGTTGTGGCCTGATTTGTTCACAACTTTTACTTCGGCAAGACCCTTTGTGTTGTAACAAACTAAATGTATAATTTATGAGGAATAAAAGTTAACCCAGCTTTAACTATCCAACCTCCATGGAGGCCATCACCAGACTAAGTTACAGCTCCGATCTCTGGAGAACGCTTGCTTCTCAACCATTCGTTTAGTTATATACAGTAGTAAAGTATTTACTAGTTTACCTTGATCTTGGTCTATTATTGAATAAATGTAAGATAGATAAGTTTAGTGCTATATATTGTGTCGCATTTCTTTAAAAGCAACATATTTAAGCAATTGGTTCTGTATTACATAGTGTTTAGTGAATTAATTATTTATGATGACCCTGAAAATGTATGAGATTTTCACTTGCCACTGTTTTTTTCTCCGTGTATTAAGTTCCTAAACTAAACTTGTGTCCGTTCCGCAGAGGTTAACCGACGTCTTCCGACAGTACGACACAGATCAGGACGGCTGGATTCAAGTATCGTACGAACAGTATCTCTCCATGGTCTTCAACATCGTATAACGCACACTGTTCTCCAGAGAAGCACAAGTGGACCCATCTGTGCCAAAGCTACAGGCAGCACCCAGACCTCCAGCACCACTGCAAGATTCTCATTACTCCTGCTAACCGTTGTCTTATTGTACCTTTAATAACGGTACTAGTTCTATTCAAGCTAAAATAAAAAACCCAGGAGTGAATCTGGAAAAGACTTGAACTTCTCTTGAAAATCTTGCCGTGTTTTGAGGATGACCAAATGCAACAAACAATGTGATGGACTCTGGGGTGGGCCTAAATGATGGACACTATCTTTCTGTCTGTTAATGTTTAAAAATAGTTTTAATGTCTTATGTTTAATTCAAGTTACAGTAAGTGTCTCAGTTGAGAGTAAAAATAAAGCATCGTAAATATGATTTGTCGCGTTGCATGCTTTTCAGGGAAATGTAGCCCCAGACCTCAGCATGCTTTCCCTTTCTCTGTCTTTAACTCCGCTCTGATTTGCTCAAAGCCATGTTTACAAGTACTGTGAAAGCAGGTCATGTTCTGCTTTGAGATTCCCTGACATGCCAGCTTACATGCCATATTTGTACAAACTTATTTTTAACAGCAGTTGTTCAAATGTTAGAGCATCATTTTGGTAGATGTGAGACTTATTGCCTTTAGTTTGGCTTATTTTTGTGCATGATGCCTTAAACTGTGTAAAAAGAGCAACACAAAAGATTAATCTTTTAATAAAAAAAGACAAAATGTTTTTCATGTGTAATGTTGTTTTTCTGGTTGAGTGTCAATCATCAAGTGCCATATTTATATTTCCAGAAGACAAGTTGCACACTGCACCTTTGAAGCAGTCACCAGAACTTTAGAAATAATGTTATAATATTCAGCCACTAAAACGACGCCCCTTAATAAAGATAACATAGGGACAACTTCATTTATTTAACATCACAAATCAGGTTTAGCCATTTGTGTACATACTTAAAATGAAAATGAAAACGTCTGACCTGGCAACCCACCGTTTATAGCTGCTCGGCTCGCTGTCGCCCCCTGCTGTCAGGACAGAGGCGACACCAGAAGTTCTGCAGTTCGCCAGCGCCACAGTGAGTTTTGCCCATTGTTTACCTCGCGGTTTTTTGTTAATGTTAAAGTTTTGAAACGACTTTCTAAATTATTTTCGCATGAGCAGGCGGAGGATTATGAGAAGACTGCATTGGTAATCTCAAAACGACTTTAGCATTCTGTTTCAGAGGTCATGAACATGGCGCTTCGATGTCTGCGTTTGTGGAAACCTGTTTTTAGGACAAGTTATCAAAGTAAAACTGCAGAAAAAGTCACGATTCCTCGGTTTTCACGAGACTTCAGCCACAGCACAGCGAGGAGAAGCGGCGGCAAAGAAGCAGGTTGGTTAACCCTTAATACCCTTTAGTGTCGGTAGAGGGCAGTATAACGAAGTCAAAGTTACATTACCCTTTGTATCTAATAAATACAGCCAATACAGATAAACAAGTACACATGGATAAGATATCATTCACAGTTGGAGCATTTACATCTTTGGCATGGCTTTGTCTATGACTGTGGTTGTACGGTCAATCTAATATAAAAAGTTAGTTGGACTCTTTATTCCTAACCCAAATCCAACCACCTGTGATTGGTTGGCTATAACATTGATCCTGTACTCTTCATTTCTTGGAGACCTCAAATCTGCATGTTGGCACATACAGTCTATGATTGGCACCGAGCACCATATAGATAGGAAAAATGCATAAAAACATAGGATAGATGGAAAATAAATGAATACAGTGAGTTTTCAGACACCACACATAGTATAATGATACAAACAGGGTAATCAGGGTTTGTTGTACAGTCTGACAGGAGCTGGAAGGGAAGACCTGTTAAACCTCTGTCACTGAAGGTGATAATCCGAGTCCTCCAAGGGCTGATGGTCCAGCATGATGGATGTTGGTTTAGCCCCCTCTAAACAGTTTTAGTCCTATGTTTTGGTCTACAGGACAAACCAGGACACATGTGGTAAACAGTATTGTAATCCAGATGGTGTTGTGTTTGGTTCCCCTCTCATTCCTCTGCATCAGCGGTGGAACAGCCTGTGGTGTCGGAGCGGAGGGGACCTGTGGTCACCGTGGCGATAAACCGTCCAGAGGTGAGAAATGCGGTGAACCAGGAGACAGCGCGGCGGCTGCTGCAGGAGCTGGAGGCCTTTGACCGGGACCCAGAAGCAACTGTGGCGGTGCTCTATGGGAAAGGTTTGTGCAGAGGCTCATTGCTTTCACTCATAATCACATAATCAAGTCATATTTCCCAGGCCAAGGTTGGTTTTGTTTGACCTAAAATCCAAACACTCCAAACTGCCCTGCTTTGTGTTTTATAGTGAGTCTGAAAAAATTGATTATACAATACAACATTACTTTTGTTTGTTAATTTCAAATCAATTTCTTACTCTCCTTGTGAATGTATTTCAGTCATTTTGATAGCAACCCATTGAACCCAGTCAACCTTTCCTTCTTAGTTTTCTTGTCATGTGTTGTAGGTTCATAGTTTTATAGATGTGTAAATACAGGGAGAATATCTGTGTTGAATTAGATATATTTTCTGGAGTGGTTGGAACACATTTTTAAGTGGCCAGCTCTGCTCTGCGTCACCTGTCAGAGCTAAAATTATGCCAAGCTCCTAATAACTTTTCAAATAATCACTGCACTCACCACTCTGTCTCCCATTCACCGTAATTTCTTCAACCTGGATCAACCTGTGCTTTTCACCCGTGTTTCAATAAAGTACTTAATTTCCCCAGAGTTGTCGGCCATGTTTGTAGTGCCTTCAAAACAAGATTGCTGACCTGTGATCGGGGTTAACGTCTTGTCTTTGCGATGATGTGACAAGCAGCGAGGCCTCGTTTGGATGTAGCATTTATAAAACCATGAGGAATCAATTTTGCTCAAATTAGCGCCAACGCAATCACTCTCCCAGCTCTCATTTTTCTGTGTCAAACTGTTTTTCTTTTCAACATGTGAAATTAAGAGTAATTGCAGCTGGAGGTTTGAATATGCAGCACATATTTGAGAGGTTTTGGGCTTCAGGTTTCTCTAAGTGTGTCACCTCAGAGGAATGCAGAGCTGAGCTGGCATTTGAACCGTACAATGTCCTGTCAAAGTGAATGTTGGCGTTCCAAACAAAAAACAGGACCGGCATGATTTGCATTTCGAAGGTTGTTCTGAGTCCACTTGGAATATTCGATTTTATGAGGTAATGTACAATGTTAGGGTTAATGTTTTATTTGTACAGCGAGATTGAGATCATGCTGCACTGGGTTCAATGTATATGAAAGGATTTAACGCAGTAAAACAGGTGCTTTGCCGTTATTAAAAAAGCATTAAATATGACCAAGATGTAATGTGGCAGAAGGAACGGACAAGATACAGGTGTAAAATTTGGAGAGAGTGAGATGTCCTTTTAGGCAAACGTGTAAACAATGGTTCTATTCTTGTGTTATTAATAAACTATGAGAAGAGCACAAATACGACAATGTAAAACGTTTTTGTGGTACGATTGTTATTGGAACCAAATTGAGTTTGCAGTTGAACAATTTGTTTTCAAGAGTATATAACTTTTATAGTGAACCTTTTTTGTTTTAGAATGTAAAATGTTTTTTGTAGAAGCCCTGTATTAAGTGGAATGTGTTTTGACCGCAACGGGCTTTGTCAGAGCAATATAAGAATACAAATGACAACAGAGGTCCTTAAACAAGTGAAGGTTTGTTTTGTTGACTGCAGGTATGTTTTCTGCACTGTGTGGTCACAAGGTTAAAATCAGAAAAAAAACCCCAATCTTGATTCTAGGGAAAATGCTCCATAAAAATGTTGTCTGCTGATACCTGTATTAAACCCTCTTTTTTCATGCTCAAGCTATACTTCCTTGATGCGGTCTCTATATTCCACTCATTCTGCTACAATGTTCTGAAACTACGAAGATCATATTCGCTTCTAACTAATAAGATAATTTTAATCAGTTTTCGAATGGGTTTCAACTTTATTTTTGACCACCACTGACCACCCTCATTAATAAAACAAATAACCGTAAATGCACAATTAATGTTTTAAAAGTGCTATTGTAATATTACTTCAAACATCTTTCGACCAGAATTTTGGGAACCACTGATATAACACTGTATCTTTCCTCAATCTTGAATAGTAAATTGGGGCATCTTACATACCAAAGTCTAAAAGTGCTTTTCAATAGAAGGAGATGTTATCATCTGTTTATCAATCAGTTTTAATATTATCTGTTTTCTTCCATAACTGCAAAACATTTTTGTCTTAATGTCTACTTTTGGTTTCACTTTTCATAAAAACTGTACATCACTGACATAACTCTCCGGTGTTGGGACCCCAGCACTTTGCTCTGTAGCTTCACTGTAAACTGGGTGTTGCAGGTGGACGCACTCGTTATAATCATTTTCTCTCATTTCAGACATTAATACATAATGTTGGTCACTTGGGAAAGTAAAGCTCGGGCACCTAACTTTCAAACATCAAAACAGGAAATATGTAATAAAATCCCGTAGCTCTTTTTGTTTCTATCACTAGTTTTTTGACATGTAGTGTTGGCCTCTGTCGCATCCTGAAAAAGAGAGGACCTCCCTCACTCAGCCAATCAGCTCTCAGCCCAAAGTGTCAAATTGTGACTCACAGGGTGACATGTTGTGGCCTGATTTGTTTATAAACTTCGAATAAAGACAAACATAACAAAATGAACTCCTGTTGTACATATAAGATGTTTACTTTTCCCATAGACAAATGAAATTGATTCCAAATCAAAATGTGGTCCTATGCAAGCATTCTCTACTTTAGATTTTGTTGCAGTGTCAACCTCGACTCGAACTTTTCTGATGAATTATTCAAACAGTTATAATCTCAGAGGTGTATTTTTGTTGGAATCAAGGTGTATGTCTGTTCTCGTAGTGAATTTATGGACTGAATTAACAGAAGATTTGAAAAAAAATTACATCTAATAAATATTAAATATGAAAAATGACTTTGTTTTTATATTTAATATCTGTTAAATACAGTGAACAATACATATAAAGCTGGTTAAACGGTGTAGAATAGGAGAGGCTCGAGTAAGCACTGCTTCTGTCTGTTCCTTTTTTGTTGCAATGAATTATATTACAATGTTGAAACTGTAACTTTGTTGATGTGATGACCAAAATATAACAATCAATCAAATCAGTCAACATTACTAAAACCTCCTAAAACCAGAAAGATTTAGATTTTTAGTCAATACCTCACACCTGTTAGCTAGATAATCTTTTCCATCAATTGTTTATTCCTGATTCCATTGAAGACAGTGGACTGAATGTGATCCCTGTATCATAATCATGGCTTTCTCCTTCACACCGTTGCCGTCTGGTCTCTTTGGACGATCGGGCAGTTCTTATGTGCCGACCCGCTCAAAGCAAACTGCGACCCAAATTGCTGCCTTCGGACTTCAGCTCAACTTGTTTTTTTTCCTCCTCATCATTTTCCCTTCCTCTCTGACTTTCCATTTGCCATACTTTGTAATTTTGTGGTCTCTTGCAGGAGGGAATTTCTCCGCTGGTTATGATTTGAAAGAGCTGGCCAATCACACAGACTCCCTGAAATTGGAGCAAGATGTCACCAAGGGTCCGGGGCCGATGGTGAGAGCCCTGTCTGTCTCCTCTGTACGTCTGTCTCCTCTGTACGTCAGTCTCGTCTGTACGTCTGTCTCCTCTGTACGTCTGTCTCCTCTATACGTCTGTCTCCTCTGTACGACTGTCTCCTCTGTACGACTGTCTCCTCTGTACGACTGTCTCCTCTGTACGTCTGTCTCCTGTACGTCTGTCTCCTCTGTACGTCTGTCTCCTCTGTACGACTGTCTCCTCTGTACGACTGTCTCCTCTGTACGACTGTCTCCTCTGTACGACTGTCTCCTCTGTACGTCAGTTTGTCTGTACGTCAGTCTCGTCTGTACGTCTGTCTCCTCTGTACGTCAGTCTCGTCTGTACGTCTGTCTCCTCTGTACGTCTGTCTCCTCTGTACGACTGTCTCCTCTGTACGACTGTCTTGTCTGTACGTCTGTCTCCTCTGTACGTCTGTCTCCTCTGTACGACTGTCTCCTCTGTACGACTGTCTCCTCTGTACGTCTGTCTCCTCTGTACGACTGTCTCCTCTGTACGTCTGTCTCCTCTGTACGTCTGTCTCCTCTGTACGTCTGTCTCCTCTGTACGTCTGTCTCCTCTGTACGACGTGTCTGTCTCCTCTGTACGTCTGTCTCCTCTGTACGACTGTCTCCTCTGTACGACTGTCTCCTCTGTACGTCTGTCTCCTCTGTACGTCTGTCTCCTCTGTACGTCTGTCTCCTCTGTCGTCTGTCTCCTCTGTACGACTGTCTCCTCTGTACGACTGTCTCCTCTGTACTGTCTCCTCTGTACGTCTGTCTCCTCTGTACGTCTGTCTCCTCTGTACGTCTGTCTCCTCTGTACGTCTGTCTCCTCTGTACGACTGTCTCCTCTGTACGTCTGTCTCCTCTGTACGTCAGTCTCCTCTGTACGACTGTCTCCTCTGTACGTCTGTCTCCTCTGTACGACTGTCTCCTCTGTACGTCTGTCTCCTCTGTACGACTGTCTCCTCTGTACGTCTGTCTCCTCTGTACGTCTGTTTCCTCAGTCTGTCTCCTCTGTACGTCTGTCTCCTCTGTACGACTGTCTCCTCTGTACGTCTGTCTCCTCTGTACGTCTGTTTCCTCAGTCTGTCTCCTCTGTACGTCTGTCTCCTCTGTACGTCTGTCTCCTCTGTACGTCTCTCTCCTCTGTACGTCTGTCTCCTCTGTACGACTGTTTCCTCAGTCTGTCTCCTCTGTACGTCTGTCTCCTCATGTTTTTCTCACGTGATTCCAAAACCCAAAGAACATTGGATCACTTACAGAAACAGTTTAGTGTAAAATAACCCTGGGGGGAAGCTCGCCGTGTTCTCATTTTTTATTTGGTATTTTGAGAAGATGGGAACATTTGAAAGCATCACTATAGGAAAAACTAGGAACACTCAATAATAAATTGAGTGTTCATTTCTTTTTTTTTTATATTAAAAAATACAAAATTGGTGTCATAATATTTATAATACAATCTATTTTGATACTGAAAAATGGACTCAATACCAATTGACTCAGTGGTGACCTACAAAATCTTTATTTATACAATGAGCTGCATTTATTTAACCTAAATACATTTTAAGAGTGCGACAGTGGCTCAGTTGGTAGAACGTTGGCCTGAAGGTCGTGGGTTCGAGCCAGTGGGGGCGGGTCCCAGCTCAAAAGTGGCCAAAATGACGTGCGCTGACATGCTTGCAATACCACCCCGGGCCGTTGGGGGTGGACCCAGAAGTAGAATTAGCCAATGCTAACATATAGCGTTGGCAGACCTCTCAAAAACATCTTTACAGGATGGACCAAAAGTTTGCTCTTGGCCCAAAGCTCCGTTCCACATGTGTGTCAATGCTGAGGGGGGTCAATTTTTTTGGTCCACTCTAGTTTACTCGCTGTGAATTTTTGAAGTCTCTCGTTCAAATGAATGGAGCTGCGCCGGCTGACGCATGCGCAGATGCGTTTTTTCACAATTTTCTTGTGGGCTGGGACCACTCGCGGCCATTTTGGATAGCTCCAGTAGAGCAAATTTTTTGGCCCATTAGTTAGAACGGCGGAGATAGGCGTGACTCTGTCCGTTAATATATACAGTCTATGGTTCGAACCCACCATAAGACCCTACTTCACGACTCTCACTGATGATTGCTGTCGTTGTGTCCTTGGGCAAGACACTTAACCCCAATTTGCCTGAAGCCCCCGCTGGAAGATTTCAGGTTCTGTGGACTCACCACCTGCAGGAGGATGGTTCTATGTGTACTGGGTGCAGCTCTGACTGTCACCCCCCAACCCAGAAATGGATTAAGGGGAAGAAAATGGATGGATGGAAATTTACAATGTTCTATAGTACATCATACAAAAGGTACCACATGATTTGATTTAGTTTGTGATTAAAAACATTCTAAAACTGCTCAGAAAAATCTGTTTTGGATTTTTTTTAGTATCGACACCTTCTTTATGATTAAGTTCTAGTTTATTTATTTGTAGCATGTTGTAAAATAGATTTGTCAAGACTGCTGACTCAATGAAACACCAAACTAATAATTTCCCAATATTATTGTAAATCTATATTGAGTCCATTGTTTATTTCCCCAAACAACAAGGCAAAACTCTGAAAGCACATGTCACTGTGCCACTTCTCATCAATATAAATCAATATTACATTTTCAATCTGCATCTTTCTATTTAATAATAAATGCTGAACATTTAAGCTCAAACCCAAATATATTGAATCCATTAGAATGAATATGTCAAGAAACAATCACTCCTTAAATATACTGGTAATGATTTGAGCAGGTCCTCGCCACAGATGTGATACTGACTCAATAAAAGGCAAACTTATGAATAAAAAGTGCGTAGGAGAAACCGAATGACCCCCCCCCATCCTCCACTTGACACAGGATAAAGATCATAACACAATAGATTTACAGTCAGTGAGCCTCATAAAAGCTGCAGACTCCATAAAATGTGTTTGGATTGCATGTTAAAGGATCACAGGACCTCCTGAGTGTAAAATTATATAGCATTGTATCTCCCTGCTGCGGAGCCCAAAGCGTGACGCACTCCTTGTTACTCTTTCATTTTGAGAAAGGAAAAAAAAGGATGTTGAACTTGGACCGCCATTACTCGACAAAGTTTACGGAAATTTAAGAAGTAGGAGAAGCGTGAAATGCAAAAAGTATCCGTGAACAGATATGCGGTGTTGAGCAATGCTTATAAAATTGAACAAACCCAGAGTTTCTTTTTATAGGCCACAAAAAGGCAGCCGGTTTCAGGATGTGGTGTGTATTGTTTGTGGTTTGTGGACTATTAAAGTATCCTCAAAGGTGCGATTGTGTTGTTCCTTCAGGGGCCGTCCCGCTTGCAGCTGTCCAAGCCTCTCATAGCAGCGGTCAGCGGTTACGCGGTGGCCGGGGGGCTGGAGCTGGCTCTTCTGGCGGATCTGAGGGTGGTGGAGGAGAGCGCGGTGATGGGGGTCTTCTGTCGTAGATTCGGTAAGACAACGTGCAGCGAACTTGGATAAGAAAACGCCACGTTTACATGGGAGGCAGGACATATCAATGAATTAAGATGAATGAATCCGGTTTGTAAGCAAGCTCCTCGCACATCACTGTCAGGTCTGAAAGCTAAATAAGGAATTCACAAAAAGAGGTGTAAAACATGGACATACATCAAAGGGAACAGTGCCAATTCAGAAAACTGCCGAAGCTGGAGGCCATATGAGCTGGTTACTACTAAAGGACATAAATAAAATTACCCCTCCATGGTGCTTGTAAAGCGTACATAAGGAACTTCTGAATTAATGAAAGGTGAGACAGGTCGCCTGTGCTGCCTGAAACATGAAATATGAGCTAATCATTTCTTGAATCGATGGTGTCTTTTTATCTTAATTAGAGCACATCCTGACTGTTTTAAAACAAGATTTGCCAACGGGACAAGTAATTTGGTATACTTTATAGAACTGTTGCCTTTATTTTCTCATTCCAAGGGAGACTTTTCTTGTAGCTTCAGATAATTTTGCTCGTCCCATTGGCAAAGACTTTCTTCAACCTTGCATCTTTAATTCTTAGACTCTGCTTTGCCTCTGTCCATCTTACATCTTACATGCCAAACACTTATGAGCATTTTGGTTCAGAATGTGACTTCACTGACCATAGCTCCAACTCAATTGATGTAACCACCACATGGATAGGACAAGTCTAATAGTATGTGGTGGTTACATGAGGCAAACATCTGACAACAAACTCCTCCAATCAGATATGCTGAATTATTAAGCCAATATTAGTCAAAGGACATGTATTTGGAAAGTACTGATAATAAATCAATTGTAATGAATGTACATGCTGCGCCACCACCACGGATTGACTCAAAATGTTTTATACAGTTTTCCTATCCTCATTTTCCATCTACACACTAAATTTCAGCTCTGGAATTAAAATACCCGCCTGCTGGCAAGATAAAAACATATCACTGAAACCATTATAAACAGTTGGAAACAAATGTATTAGATCAACAAAAAATATTGTTGAATCATAATTGACACTATTTTATAATAACACTCTTAGTATTTTATTTGTCTATATTCTGTGATGTTAGTTAATTGCTTAAATGTCCAGTAGGAAACAATGTAGTCCAAAAATACAGTAATGTACGGGTCACAAACCTGACCTGTACTTGTCCTGAGGGCCTCTTCCTGTTTGTATTCAAGGGTATGTTGTTCCTTTGGCTGTAATCTTCCACAATATGACATTAAACTTACATAAAGTTCCAGGTTATTGTTTAAACTTTTTATTTTCATTGATAGATGCAGTAAATGTGTATATATTAAACTGTTTTTGACCACCTCCGCAGGGCCTTCATGAATTGTTTAGGGGAAATGAATGGACACAAATAGTGTGTAAGGTGTTTCGCTGCCATAGAAACCTGGTCATTATCTACTTCCTGGTTGAGTTTTTAGGTCACGGTCAGCACTCCATCCTCGCACAAAAAAAACAACGAGAAGCTGAAGAGATAATAGCATCGGTCAGAACAGAACTGACTTCCTGAAACAAAGAGATAAATGTAGTTTCTGACCTAGAGAGGGAGAGTTCCAGCAGATATATTTACACTCATGCACAGGACAGAGCAAAGTCTATAAGAAGGATACTGCTTAGTTAATGTTGGCGTATCTATTTTTTAATCACAAATAATGCGTGTTGTTGGAAAGAGTTTTGTAAAAGTCAAATGTTGGGGACAAATCAGACAATAACATGCTTACTATAAAACATGTTTTCTTTTACATACAAAAGAGTTGATTGGCTGAGTGAGGGTGTTTTTTCACTTTTCTGTCTTGAAAAGCGGATCCAAACATGTGACAGAGGCCAGAAATACATGTGAAAACTAATGTTGGAACCACTTTGAAAGTTTGGTACCCCAGCTTTAATAGATTATATGTTAATGTAGATGTATATCAGGGCTCTTCGACCTCTTTCAATCGGACAGCTACTTTTATACAACAGAAGAGGCAAAGAGCTCCTGTTTGCAGTTGTATTAAAAATCGAAGTACTAATTACGACAAAACATGAAGAACGATTTAAAATACAGAATAATACTGTATAATCCTATATTTATACTTATAGATACGTATGTAATAACTCAAAATCTATTCATTAAAGATCATGTGTTGAATTCTAATTCCTTTAGAGCTCCTGATCCACAGGTTGGAGATCCCATGGTAGTTAGTAACTTTTTTCAATGCTGTGAAAAAATGCAGAATACAAATTATGAGCAGAAAGCAGCAAGTTCCCGCTTGTGCAGCTCATGCAGTCTTTTTCTGATTCAAGATTCAGAATCTATCTGCCATTTGCAGTAAAACCACATTGGAAAAACTGTGCAAGACTAACCCCAGTGTGCACCAGACAGAGAAGATGGAACATACCCGGGCTCTTGCCTCGAGGATGGGCACTTGGGTCAAGGCTTTTGTCTGATCCTGATCCCAGCGCAGCACCAGTCTCTCTCAGGGAAGCTTTTCAACATTTCATATACAATTTGTCACAGTTGGGTCTAAAAATATCCTGTCAGTGTGTTAAGTAGAGTGTTGCGTTGTAATTTACTGTCAGGGCTCGATCTGAAGGATAAACATGTGGAATGGTCTGTAATTTAGAGAGGAACATCATGGAAAGAGCCTTGTCTTTCGACCGGTCTGCACCCAAGGCCCGAGAAGGATTTTTGTTCATGCTCAGACTGTAAAGAAGGTGGAATGGAGGAAACCAGGGCGTGAACTTATTTTTATTGTCTGTATACTGTATACCTCAGTGCCTCTCAAAGCAAATAACCAAATCAACTACAAGTATTTGTTTAAAGCTGCTGCATAAATAACACTTTTATAAGCTTAATTAAGATTGTTAATATTCCATGCAATATTAATGGAATTTAACGCTAAAGTTAGATTTTGATTGAAGGACCATTGTCTTTGGGTTATAAAAGAAATGTAGGTTGTAATAAAAATATTGTTACATGTTTCAACATCTGCATTCTTATGGAGGGATCAATTAACTTGTTTTAAGGTGAATGTTAACCAAGTATCATTCTAGTGCTTTTACTGTTGAGTTGTACCTGTCGTGGTCAGACTCAGACATTTGTCAAGCTCACTCTAATTGAACTAAAGCTGGGGTACACAATTCTCCCTCACACTATCCTTTTGGGTCGCTCTGACCCATGGTTTTCAGATCGATCACAAACTAGGCCATAAAAGACCCAGGGCCGGTAGGAAAAGTCAGCTTGAAAAAACTTTCAAACTACAAAATATAGAACTTAATAACAACCATCTAACTCACAAAACAGTTTGGAGCCATCAATATTTCTCTCTTGCATGTTTTGTATAGTTGGCCTCTGTCACATCTTAAAATCACCTTTTTCAGACAGAACAGTGAAAAAGAGAGGGCTTCCTCAGCCAATCAGCTCTCAGCCCAAAATGTCAAATAGTGACTCACAGGGCTCATTCATGCAAGTACAGTATACAAAACAGACATTTTCTAATCAGATAATTACAGTATGTTGTGGTCTGGTTTGTTCACAGATGTTTACTTTTGAACTTTTTACTGTTTCTGTTCTGTTTTTGGGACCCACAAATGTATTAGATCTGGGTAAATAAGTACCCCATCTTTAATATAACAAAACTTAAAACAGATTTTTACTTCAACCCCGTGCATTTTTTTAGGTTTTTATTCCAATTAGATGTCATGACAGAAATATATGAGCTCTGATGTATTGTATGAGTAGCTTGGCAATTACATTAAACTTGAGCTCATTTCCAAATCCCACACTATCTCTGGGAACCAAAAATAACACGGCAGAATATGTTATGTTTCTCATTCATACCTCCCCGTTTTGAATGAGCAGCAGACGGGAGCAGAGTAGTGTGACGCAAACCTCTGCCCGCCTTCTCATTTCCCCCTCAGCGGGACAGAGGGGCCCAGACAGGAAGCCGCGGGTTCGACAGTCCATCACGTGCCAGAAAAGTTGTGGTTGCGATTGGCCCACATCAGAGCGAACCAAACGGTCTCTCAAGGGTTTTTCAAATGCCACAGCCACCAGGGATTCCCTCGGGCGACTGCCATCTGCGCCCGCCCCAAAAACTCTAACATGATTGAACCATTAAAGGGAAATATTGAGAAAGAAATGATAGATCTTTAAATAAACTCTGCGCTGCCCACAGTTCAGTGCGGCTTTAGATGGAAATGCGTTAGAATTGTTTAAATGAGAAATTGCAAAACCGCTGTGAGGGTGAGGTTACAATGTTTATCCTTTGCTAATGAATCAAGTTTGAAGTCTTCAATAACAACGGCAAAGACTAATTACATAGTTCAATTAAATACAAGAAATGGATGAGGATGTGGCAAAAATCTGCATTTGAAGAGGAAAAAGATATACCATCACCATGTGTGAGAAACCATATGTGGAAGAAGGAAGGATGACAGTGGTTCTTGCTGAAAACATCCCAATGCATCAGTTTATTACATAGCACGGGTAAATGCAATCCTGGTGCAGTGGTTAACGCTTGTGCAAGAAGGTCCTGAGTTCGATTCCACCTCCAGAAATTTTTTTTGTGGAGGTGTCTGCGCAGGTTTACTCCGGGTGCTTCGGTTTCCCCTACCTCTAAAGACATGCCCAATAGATCTGACATGTGCCTTCTGTTCGGTAACCCCACTCCCATCTCTGTGTGGAGGGAGAAACTAATGCCCACAACAATGAGTAAAGCTTTCTTAAAAAAATCTTATCAACAGAAACGGACTGACTGAACTCAAACGGTACATTATGCAACTTTTTATGTGGAAACAGACGATATTTGTTGCATATTTGGACCCAGTGGCTGTGTGAGCGGTCAGCATGGTGCCTTAACTTTCCGTCACTGTGGTCTGTAGAATGCTTCAGGATCAGTTGTTTTGTTGGTTTTCACTACTGACGGACCTTCTTACCAGAAAAACTACAAAACCATCTTGGATCACTGTAAATA